GTACCACCTGCCTGATACGGACATGTCGTTATCTACTGTACGATTAGATTAGATGGGGCGGCAGTGCACGGCACAGCTCGGGCTCCACTGACGCAGCCGCTCTGACTCACCGGCCCTCGGGGCCGCGTCGGCATGCTGCGCACGGACCAGCTGCGCACGGACCAGCGCACACAGCCTGCCCTTATCTTCCCCTGTATATAAGCCGGCCTCTGCTGCCCTAGGGACCTCAGTTTTGACCTCTTGTCCCTAGGTCAGTAAGCCCCAGTTGTATCCTTTACTTACCTTCACTAACTAATACATCTCTTGTCCCTAGCCTTAGGTTTGAGCCTCGCTCACCATCGCTTCGGTGAGAACCAGTCGGACGCCCCTCGCTTCTAGATATTTCCCTGTCGCTTGACCTCAAGTCGCGACACTGTGTCTGTCTATGACTCTGTAACTCAGATGAGGCTAGACCATCAAGCTTCACGATTCACCTTGTTTCTTGTACTCGTACTTCTTTTCTGTATGCACCATTGTATAGGAAAGAAGTGCTGCTTCACAACAAACAAGACTTCACTTCTCGAACGTCACTGTAATCAATGTGCTGAGTATCAGCAAACAATCCTCCAAGATGCTGCAAAGTATCGAGAGTTGCGGACTCGCCGGAAAGCCAAAAGGGAAGAGAAGATAAGAAAGACAGCCACGGGGCAGGCCATACAATCCCATAGTCAGGATGTGGTCAGTATTCTCAACTATTTGTCAATGAGGTGATTCACTCACTTGTATGTTGCATTTGAAGCCTATGGTGGTCGACGAGACAAGCTCAGATGTGTACGTGGGCAATAATGACTATACAGACTTGCCCAGCCCTTCGACTGGGTCAGTATCGGATGCACCAAGTAGGGATGTCGCTGCGGAAATTGGTCGACCAACACGTGAACGGAGGCTGCCGAGACGCTATCGGTCTATGCAAGACATAACGCGCGTTCGGCATGTCAGCCGACATCTTGATGTCATACCGGAGGGCCCGTCCCCTGCCATTAATCCTGAGCCTATCATGGACGCACCTCCTAATCCCAGTGCTGTGCGGCGTGTAATCCTACATGTCTGGGACTCCATGCGAACTGCGGTTAATGCATTTGGTGTCCTCCGTGAGTATCCGCATCGCCCCTCGTTTGATCCAGATGCAGCAGTGCGTCCGGAGGACCTCGCAGACTATCACAACAAGGGGCCCTGCGAAGATATACAGGGGGGATTGTTAAACAGCGATTCTTTCACTTCAACATCCGCACCACCAGCCGACAGAGCACCACCGTGGCCCTTTGCGAATATGTCTATCTGGCGGCTGATGAACTGGTTTAGCTCTGGAAGTGGTCAGAAATCAGTGGGAGAAACAAATCGTCTTGTGCACGATGTTCTCCTCGCAGATGACTTCACAGCATCCGACCTACATCATTTCAGGGTTGCGCGTGAAGCAAAGCGCATAGATGGCTCTGAGGAAGACACACCAGACGTCGCATCAGATGCCCAGTCAGCCCCATTTGCTGGTGATGGATGGAGAAAGACATCCGTTGACATAGACATTCCGACAGGCGAACGAGACAGCCCCAAATCTCCTGGTTATAAAACCTTCTCCATTAGTGGTCTTCACTATCGGTGTCACGACTTGGTACGGCGCCTAGCCATTTTTTAATTTTTTCCTCTTCGCGGGCTCGAACCCGCGACCTCTGTACTACTTGCCTGATATGGACGCGTCGCTATCTACTGTACGATTAGATTAGATGGGGCGGCAGCGCACGGCACAGCTCGGGCTCCGCTGACACAGCCGCTCTGACTCACCGGCCCCCGGGGCCGCGTCGGCATGCTGCGCACAGACCAGCTGCGCACGGACCAACGTGCACAGCCTGCCCTAAATCTCCCCATGTATATAAACCGGCCTCTGCTGCCCTAGGGACCTCAGTTTCGACCTCTTGTCCCTAGGTCAGTAAGCTCCTGTATTCTCTTACTTACCTTACACTAACTAATACACTTTCTTGTCCCTAGCCTTAGGTTTGAGCACTGCTCACCATCGCTTCGGTGAGACTTAGTCGAACGCCCCCAGCTCCTTTTAGGTTTTCCCCTGTCGCTAGACCTCAAGTCGCGACATTAGGTCGAAACTCCACAAAGCTGCCGGCGTTCCTCGGAACCCCACACACTCACTTTTCCTTTCCCATAGGTTGGGTGGTGCGCACCCCTACTGTACCCTACGATACGTAGATAACATACGATACATCGCCAACACTTGAGAAACGAACTCTTCAGTACCTGCGCTTCAGTGAGCGGTACTTGTCCTCACGGACGCGTAGCCTTGGTTCCTGCTGCATAATAGTCAAAAGCAGTATTGGGCCCTACGTGAACTGCGAATCTCAGTGTCATCTC